GAAGGAACAGAAATATAATCTAAGTTTGAAGTTCTAGAGAAGAGCAAGATTGATAACTTAGAAATGATTCAACATTTGAAACTATGTGGAACCGAAGAACCAATTCATGAGCTAGGATTCCAAGAACATCATAAACTTTCTTCATGAGCTAGGATTCCAAGAAATCATAAACTTTCTCTTTCAGTATATTTGCTTGAATACAGACTCATGATACTTGCGAGTAACACTAGACCAGTGCCACTGAATAGAACCATGTGATTTTGAGATATGAAATAGTAAATTGGAGAAACAAGAAAGTGGATCATACCCTCATACGGTCGGAGAGAATGGAAGGAGTGATGAGCTTGAACTTGGGAGCTTCAGTGAGAAGCTTGTCATAAGTAGCCTGATCAAACAAAACCATGTTGTTCACCTTCTCCTTTTGCTTTCCCTTGCTCCACTTCTGTTTTTTGTTAAACAAACATACATCGGAAGAAAAGAAAATACAATTAAGCCACAAAGATCATGAAGATAGCAACATTAAACACTTAAGCAAGACAAAGCTTTTCACACAAATATGTAGACAATAATCAAAGCTGATCTACCCATATAACAAGTGCATCTCCACATACATAATCAAAGTATTCTTGGATCACAGAGACTAAAAAAATCTAGAATTTTATGTATCAAATGCAAACAGATACCCAAATCTTCCTGGAATTTTAGCCAATACATAAACAAATCAGAACTTTCCCAAATAGATACGAAAACAAAATCAAATTTGCTCAAAACTCCAGACATAATAAACAGAGAAATGGAACACTTTGTTGCTCTTGAATCGAATCTATATTAACCGTAGCTACACGAGTAGATTAGAGTGATCGTATAATGGGATAATCGAGGAAACGAACCTTCTTCTTCTGTTTTCCACCTCCGGATTTCGCTGGCTTCGATGACGGCGGTGGAACCTTATCCTTCTTTGGCGCCTGAAAACAAAGAACATTTCGAATTAGATACGATCTGGA